GGGAGGCTTCGCGAGCAGCTGGGATAATTTGCTGGAAAATTGAATTTTGAGGCAAAGGGAAAATCAAATCAGGGACAGAAAAGTGATAAGAATGCTGAACAAGGGCTTGTCCCTGAAATAACAGATGAAGACATGTTTTGCTGCTGTAGAAACGCTGGACACGCTGAGCTGTCTGACGTTCAGAAGCGGGAGGACATGGGGAGATGCTGTGAGGTGTAAATGCCCAGCAGGTGCTTTGGGGGTTTGTCTCTCTCACACGCCTGGAGTCGGATTTACAGTGGAGTCAGAGCTGGGGAAATTTACACCCTTTCCTTGTCCCTCCGTGGGAAGATTCCGTTGAGGGCCGTTCTTCATCATGTAACTTACCCCTTCCTCCACTTTAATTTGGTCCCTGGAGGGTAGTTTAGGCTGTGCTGTTCATGAGCACATTTGATGGCGTTGCCTGGTCCCGAGTGGAAGGTGATTTCCCATCCCCAAGGCAGTCCCGAGTGACAGAGTGACATTCCCCTGCCGGTGACCCTCCACTGAAGGGGAGGCAAGGACAGTGCCTGCAGCAATGCAGGGGTAGGTTTGTCACACAACTGTGTGTCATACTTGGCAAGCCCTGGTCAGGAATATCTCAGTAGTATAATGAAAGGGGCCTTTCTGGCTAGGGCCACAGTTCAACAACAGAACACATTTAGATGGATCCCTACGGCGCTGCTGCTTGCAACCACTTGTGTGTGCAGGGGTATTCTGAGCACTCAGTAGAAAAAACAACATGAAGAAAAATGGAAATGAGGAGATGAGAAGCTTGTAGTATGAATGATTTGTCATGACAGCTGTGTGCAGAGGTGAAAGATGCTCAGTGCCTCAGGCAAGTAAAGGGCCCAATTCTACCCTGACATAAGCCATTGATTTAAAAAGGTAGACTCAGTGCAAACCAGTACAGAATCAAGCTTTTTAACTGTTACAGTAACCCTACTCAGCCTGAATGAGGATATGTTGAAGAATTAGATGTCTGTTTCTGAATTGCTCAGAATGACAGAACAGCTAAAGCACATAGTTCAGCTCAAGCAGCATTTTAGAGGCAGGCTCTTACCTCTACTGTGTGGGATTTTCTCTCCACATTGCCACAGTTAAGAGAGCAGGAATGGGAGATGTCTGTGGATTTTACACCTTTCCTCCTTCCAAAACTGAGGTGGAGAGGGGCAGAATGCAGCCCTTCATTCATAGCCTGGTAGGTCTTTACACAGCCACAGCTGTCACCAGACGGACACTGCAGGGCTTCTGGTCTATGATGCCTTAGCAAGTTGTAGAAGTTTGTTACAGTGGCAGTGGCAGTTTGTTACTACAATATGAACAAGAATATGTTCTTCTGCCCATCTCCTTCCCTCCTTTGCCCATGAACTTTCTAAGGCCTGACTATGGCTCTTAACCTGGGTTTACAGGGAGAGGTGTTATGTATCTCTCTGATAAAATGACACATTTGGAGAGCGCTGCAAATTCACTTTGAACAGAGGGGAACTTTGGAATTCTTCTCATCACAGCAAACTGCTGTGTAAATTCAGCTTTAACGTTTTGCAGTTCAAATGGCAAATCTACATTCATCAACACCAGCAGCACTGATGCCAGAAGCATTGGCAGTCTATGAGAAGACATCTCACAGTAGCAGCAGAGACAGACTGGGAGCCAGTCATGTTTTGTTTGGTTTTTCCTCCTCATACACACACAGAAGCACAAACACACTGGTCTATTCTGACAGCAAATAGCTAACAAGTGTGTAACAGCAAGCATTTCTAGACAGGCATAAATCATCCCTCATGGTTTTTACCCATGCACTTCTCATGATCGTTAAAAGAATTAAATTTGCCAGTTCCGGCTAGAGTTTAGCTAGAATGTCCTCAAGTTGAAAATGTCTTTATAAAACAAACCAAACAACCTGTTAAGATGGAGTTGGTGGCCACCAGCCTGCTGACCTTTGGTAAAAGCATTTTGCACCTAGGCTGAGTGTGTCTGCTGCTTCACACAAATCAGAAAGGACAGATAGCTACAACAAGTCTTGGAGAAAGCATCAAATGAGTACCAAAAGAATTCTTTAATAGAACAGTTTTCTTTCATTTTTATGTTTTGGCTAATCCACCACATTTAACAGGTCTACTAACCGTGTTTTTATGAATGAGCAATTCCATGGTTTATGGGCATTCTAAACCATGCTGTAGGAAAAGTGTCAGGGTCCCAAAATCTGCTGTGCACAGTTCATATCATGGCCTAACATCAGTAAAGACATAAAAGAGCATCTTGCAGCTACTGCAAAATTGGACATGTTGAAGCCAATCCCCACCCCCAAGAATGTGTAACTCTTTCTCTACTAGACAGATCAGATTTAAGTTCATCAGGGAGTTCTCTTCCTTATGAGTGTTAATTCCAAGCTCATTTGTGAATTTATCCATAGAATAAATAAAACATGAACAGCAGAGGTAATGTGAGTATTCACCCAAGGTGTGTCTGACCATCCTGAACCAAAACAAAAAAAAAACAAAACCAAAAAACCTATGGCAGAAATGCTATCTTCTTCTAATACAGCCAGTAAGACGTACTGGTGGCAGCAGTCTTTATCAAAGAGAATCTCCATTAGAGCTGCAAACTTCTTTTATATGGGTGACCATCAGATGATCACACTTACCAGTCCTTTCAGGCTGCTGAACTGAGTTTGAACAGGCAAGTGAGTTTTCTTTGCCTGTCAACCAGCAGTTGTAGTAATTGTCCCAGGCGCAGTTGTTCTGAATAAAATCACAGATGTTGAAGTCTTCCTCTGTTTTGCTGCTGGTAGCAGAACACGACTTGCTGCAGCTGATTTTCTGGTGCTTTCAAGCTGGTTTTGAGGGCCATATAAAAATAAGTTGTTTATTTAGCCCCAAGTAAGCAGAGAAGAAGGAAGTCTTTTGCACAAATGGTGAAGATCCTCAATCCAGTCCCTTTAATGTAGCAGAAAGGAGTCATAAAAGTCTCAGTTCTGCAGCAAAAGGATTCCTTTGATGTAGACAATGTGGAATAAGCTGTATAGAGAATGTGGAATAAGTTTTGTAGAGGTCTTCTGAACTCCAGTACACTGTGTGCTGAGGAGAAGGGGTTCTAGATGGAGGTGCTGTGATGTCCAAGCAGCGTCCTGGCCCCTACAATCACTGGGGGGGACCTGTGTAATTCAGATAGTCCTCTGCATGACTACAGTAACTTCGCAGTCTTACTAGAGGCTTCAGAATAACTCAGGCTCTGGATGCCAGGAAAGTCTTTTAAAGACACTTTAAACCTAACTTTCTAATCCCCTCGCAATAATTTCATATATATTAAAGATGAAAAGGATCTTCACATCACCCATATTCCTGAAGCAATTCTAGCTCATTCATGCAGAAAACCTCTCAGCATCAAGTAGACTTTAAATGAGCTGTGTTGCTTCCTTGGTTTTCCACTTCATTCAGTTTATGTTCAGTGCAGCTACTCTGAGCTATTTATAACTGTTTTCATTCCTGGTTCTCATCTAGTAGCTCTGTTTCAAGTGAGTGGGAATATATTCTATGTGTTGTTTTGAAGATTTTTTTTCCAATATTTAGAGTGTGACGTATCTTTTTCTAATCCCACAGGTAAAATCCAGCCTCTAGGAATGCAGCTGCTCAACCTCCCTTAACCTCAGACCCACCTACCCAAATCTGCATAGAGCCAAGACCACACGGGCAAGGGGGAGATGAACTCATGAACTCATGATGAAGTTCAGAAGTGGCAGGTGGCAAGAGGTCCCAGATGTCCTACTGGTCCATTGTAGTTTAGGGTTCAAATAGGCTGGGCCATTCCCTCCCTCCCATTACTGGGAGTTCAGATTAATCAGTAACTCTGATTAGTCCTGTTTATGTGGCATGAAAACAGCACTCAGGCCAAGAGAGACCTCTGTAGAGGACTCTGGCCGTATCTAAGACAGCAGAGGAGTACTAGGATTTTGATATGAATCGTTACCATGTCTAAAATCTGATGAGATGTGTTTGTAGCTCAGTTCTGACCTCACCCATTTACATTAATTTTTTGAAAACTTGTCCTTTCATTAGCAAGTATGTTCAAATTGTAAATTGCTGCTAGCCAGCTGGAACTGACCCACTTCAGCTTCTACAAAGAGGTAGCTGCTAAAGCATGTATTTTCCACTCACACTTCAGCTTCAAACCTGATGTGCACTTCTTTCTTTTCCCCTCTCTCTTCTGTGTCTCCAGCAGTAGAATGATCCACAGAAATTACTTGGTCCATGGGAATTTCCATGACATCGTATTACTTGTGAACACAAAAACTTTCCCAGAACTAGTTGGCCCTGGACCATAAAAAGGGTATAGAGGGGGTCCCTGAGATAGGAAGAGTTTGGTTTATAAGATAATGAGAAACAACAATTAAATGCCATAGAGAATGCAGTGTAAAAATTCATTTACATTCCTGCTGCACAGTAATTGCCTTATTTCCAGCACCTGTAAGACAGCAGAATAATTAACACAAAACATCAAACCCTTTTTTACATTTTACAAAATATGCTGGTTTGTGTCAGTAATAGGAAGGGCAAGAGGAAAAAAATACCTCCATCAAGCTGTGCTTCCTGGTGTATTTAGTGTACATTCAAGTGCTTCCTGGTATATTTAGAAACAACCAAATGACAGAAAAATATGGTTTGTAGTTAAGGTCCCTTATTAACACTTTGTCTGAGTGCAGAATAAGGAAATATGCACAATTCTGCAATGAATAAATGAATATTTAACAAATCTGAATGAAGATAAATTGAGGAAATCCTGTTACAAAGACAAACAAATACATCTTTATTCTTTATAACATAGGCAATAGCTCCACACTGCACATGACAAGGTATGCTTTATGTAATAGGGTGGATATGTATTGCTAATTATTTGGAATACAGTTGAATTGAGAAAATGTATTCTTAAATTTCCATAATGGAGGAAGGCAGCATGTCTGAGGTTACTCACATTTTAGATTATTATTACTGAAGACATTTTTTACATCATTAGTTTTTAATATAGATGTTGTTTGCTTCCACTTTACAATTTACTCTGGTTTGGAGACTGAAGATGCAACATGTAGTTGCGTCGAATGCAGGTTCTGTTAGAAATATGCAGGTATTTTACTGAATTTTATACATATATCTAGTAGGAAAAAAAAAACAGTTTTCTACGTTCATTGAACAGTCCATTTGTTCCAGTGTTTTTCTATGTAAGAAAAGCAACATAACAAATTCAACATACTAATTTTGTTAATATATCTATTTGGGCAACAAATTTTTCTTTCTACACTTTTATCAAGAGAAGATAAATATTATTGGAAGTCTGCAACAAAGCTGTAACTGAGTGCAATTCTTCCCCTGTCCTTTACACCCCTATATAGATTCATAGGGTTTTTTCCAAAAGAGGAGTGTGTCATGCTGCAGATGTAGTTTGTATGAAACTGCCATATAAAGGTTGTCCACTAGGTGGTCCATAAAGACATACTTAAGAACGCTGGTTCAGGTTTTCAGTCTTCATATTTAAGCATATACAAATAAATGCAAATATCTATTTTAATATCATATCATCAGTTAGCAGCTATGGCTAAAATGAGTGTAAACATTTTGCTTCCTCCTCCCATATTCAATATGTATTCATCAAAGATAAATAATCTGAAGAATATTTCATATGAGATTCTACTATGTATGTAAGCCGCCAGACTTCTTAAAAAGCAAGTCAATCAAGTGATTTCAGTAGGGTTACTCACAGAAGTCAATCCTGTGTATGTGAAGAAAACCTCATTTGCAGCTCACATACTCCATTTCTACTCCAGGGATGCCAAATACTTGGAAGTAATGCATTTCATTGGAACTGTAGTGATGTTGTCAAAAGTAAAAGTAAAAGTAATAATAATAATAATAAAAAAAAATCCTAGTAAAAAAATAGCATTGGCATAGCTGTAAATAACAATACATGGCACTGACAGGATTTGGATTGCAAGCACAAGGCTCATTTTGCTTCGAGACAGGTTTAGATTAAATCTGGGAATTTACCATATGCCTGAATCTTCCTATAGAAGGTGGAACACCATCAAAACTCAGTTGGTGTGCAGCTACTGTGAGATGATTACAGCAAGTGGCTTCTCTAGACAACTAGTTCATGCAGAACCACTTCTGTTTGTTATTCCCAGACTTGAAAGAAGCATCATCATTACAGATGACATGTGCAACTGAAGAAAACTCCATTCCATGAATGTCATGGAACAGAAGACGTTCTAACAGCATTCCCTATCAACCTGAGATGTATCAACAGCAATAATTTATTGTGGGGTGTTTTTTTTTCACACTGAGCTTTAAGGATGATAAAATGCAAAGAAAAAATACAGCGCTATACACCTGCTGAACGGGTAATGATTATAAGAACCAGGTTAAAATGATGATGTCTGTTTTTCACATACGCCGGGTGATCTTTACATTAAAACTTTCTCATTATACAGTAGACATATTTTGCAAGAGTTTAGAAACTAAATGTAAAAAATTAAACTTTTCAAACATTTTTAAAAGTTATATTCTGTGATAAAAAGAGGAACTATGAGTCCATGAAATAGATCTGCAGTCACTATGCACTTTTTTTATGTTGCTGTAATTTTTAGTGCCATCAGGGTAAATTTGTAAATGCATCGTACTAATTTCCATATTCATTTTTTACTTAGTTCTCATTTCATGTGTGTGAAGTATGATTCCATTAGTCTTCAGTGACTCATAGAAAATATATCATGGACTGTGTCTTTTTATTAATGAAAGAAAAAACAAGAATGAAGTTATAGAGTGTAATGAGGTTTAGAAATGAATTTGCTTCATCTTATAGCAGTTCTGCAGATTCTGACAAGATTGGCAATTCTAAACAGTGTGTAGCTTGTAATACAAACTATGCCTAATGAAAAAATGATGTAATCAAAAACTGTAGAAAGACGGGAGACTCAGTATTTCTCTCTTTCCATATGAGAGGAGGCTTCTTCCTATAAACTAGGGAATTTAGTTAGGTATTAACAAAGTTAGCACTGTAACAGAGAAACTGATACATTATTCACAGAGTAGGAGCAGGGGGAGAACAGGTATTTCCTTCTTGTTGCTGCTTCTGTTACTGAGTTTAAAAGTTCAATTTAGCTACAGTATTTTCCAAAAATGCTTTACAAACTAAAAGGGACATAGCTGCTTGCTCCAGTGACCTTTTGGATAGTCCAAACCGGCTGTTTGATAGGACATAAAAATTTAATACAAGCATTTTGGACACCAAGCATGCTATGTGATCCTCTGGGTAAAGTTTTGGTTGGAAGAATTATTTAAATTGGCATGGAGTCAAGACTAAAACCTTCATATAAATTAAAGAAGATAATAATTTTCATAACTTGCAGTTTATGACAAATGACTGTGTAAAGCAAAAACATGTAAAAATCGGAAAGGTAAATCCAAAAAACCAGTTTCAATTTTTGGCATCCTGGTAAAACATACTCAAGGCAAAAGTGTCATAGGAAAGATAAAAAAATACACAAACCACAGGAAAAATAAATAAAAATGCTTTCCCTTTTTTTTTCTGCAGTAGTGGCGATACTTCCTATTTGTTCAAATCTTTCTGGAGTACAAACAAATATGGCCTTTAATACAACAGTCTTTTACACATTAAGCTTCTAACAGCGAATTATCCTCCTACTCCATCTTCTAATTTCCTCTTCCTGTCCCATATATAAAACAGCTGGGTGTGGTTGTCCGATGAGACCAGCTGCTTTGGTCTCCCAGGCTTTTTTACCCCTTCCTGCCTGTTGCAAGAGCTCTGCTCAATTTAGGGGAAAAGGAGGGAGGTGAGTAATTTTGGGTTTGGTTTGTTGGTTGTTTTTTTGTTTTGTTTTTTTTTTCCTATGGCTGTTTTAGTCTCAATGTTTTAAGCCTCTCAGAAATCAAATTAGTGCTATATTTATTCCATGGGAAGAATAAGAAGAAAATACAGTAAGGAAGGAGCAGTAACTCAAGAGATACTTAGAGAGAAGTTCCAGAGCTGAAGCTAGCAGGAGGTTCTTTGTGACTTGCTTGGGTTTAGAGTGAGGCAAAGCTACTTCAGCTAGATGACAAAAGGTTTTCAGCCAAGCTGCAAAAGTTTGAGAGCTATGGGCAATTCCTCTATGAAAACTAGACCCAGTCTGAATGTGAACACTAGGGAGGTCAAGGCAAAGAGAATCTTCTCAAGTTTATGACCATAGGGGCTAGTACTTATGTGGGGTAGTTCACTATGACTATTGAAATAGATAGTGGCAAGTGCTTAAAATAGAGTAAGAAGGAAGACTGTACTGAAGCTATGCTGAGTTTTAGCTGGTGGCCACGTATCTGTTAGGTTTCAGTGATGCCAATAAAGATTCCTTCCTTGAACATGGGGAGTCAAACAAGTCTTTAGTTTTGAAAAGAGGCTGAGGTATGTTGAAAGATAAGTTAATTCTGATATGCAGAAATCCCACAGAAAAAATGGAGGAGAGAGAAGGAGAGTCCTTCTAAAGCATCAGTTCAAGAAATAAGGCAGTTGGGATATGATGATGTCAGTGATATTTGGGGTACAAGGAGGTAAATATTTATTTGAACATATGCACTGGAGAATGTTAAGAATAATGATGCATGAAGGGAATGAAAATGGAATAAGTGGCTGTGAGATTTGTCTAGGGAAACCATCACTTGAAACTCTAATGACATTTTTATTGAAATGTGAAGAGAAAACCTGTACTAGAGAGGATCTTAGCTGGAAGCAGGATGAAAAAAAGCTCCACCTCTGTGTAACAATATTGACAACACAGGATGATCTTAGAGATGAAAGAAATCAGTTGTGTTTCTGTTGTGTTTTGGAGCCTGAGGGGGAAGTTTGGGCGGTGGTCATTGACTGGCTGGAGGAAAAAGCTGAGAAGCCTGTGCATCTGCAGTAGACACTATATGGAAGAGACTTGGGTAATCACCAAAGGCAAGCTAATAAGAGGAAACCCAAGTCATGCTCTGTCAAACTTCTTTCTGGATACTGTGCAGTGAAAAGGGAAGTAGAAAAAAGCAAAGATGATCTGAATTGAGGTCCCTAGAAACTGCAGTCCAGAGGCTTATTTGTGCTGGAAGAGGTGTTCTGCTGGGGCGAGACCAAATGAGGGAAGAATAGGTTTCTGGTGGGGAAGGTCATTCTGGTCACAGGCTTTTGCCAGAGACATTCTTGAGTGCAAGAGCGGGGTGGAGGAAGCAGATGTTTGAGGGACTTGGCAAAGTGGACAGAAATGTTGAGGCTCAGAAGAGTTAGGAGAGGAGGAGGGAGGGAGCGAGCAGCAACAGAGAGAGGTGCTTGAGAGTATATGTGGACTTCTCTGCCTTTTGCTGATCCTAGGCAAGCCTTGTCCTTTAGAAATGTGAATTAGTAAGTAGTAAAAAGAATGCATCCAAAATATAACAAAGCAACCTAGCGACATCTGTCTGGAAAAGTAATTAGAATCAGAAGGGTAATTTTATAACTGTCAGGGCAACAAATTACATTGGCAGTGGAGGTCCATGTTAGGATATGTGGGGAAAGAAGGAATCCTGGGAACGCTGTTTCATTCCTGTACTTCCCAGCAGACTCCCATTGCCTGAGGCTGCAAATGGAGCAGAGAGAAGGAAGCCCTGGCAGCTGCAGGCAGTGGAGAAGGTAGAACAAAATTGTCACTTAAAAAAATAAAATAATAATTTAAAAGCTTATAGAAGAGCACACAGTTTTTCTTGGGGAGAGTAGTCATTTATTCTTGCGCCTATGAAGCATCCAGCCAAGACAGGGTGTCCTAGATGTGGGTAAAGCTGAATAAACAGGGTTGCAGCTGATTTGTTTACCTCCACAAAATTAGAGAAATATGGCCTACCTACATCATACAACTGTTCTTCACATTTTTATAGCCTATATTTCACAACATGAACATACTATTTCCTAGCAGCATGTTTTCCATCAAACATAGATTCCCATTTTATGAACTCTCCCTCATTTTAGTAAGAGAAACATGATTTGGAAAGAGTTCTCAGCAGAAAAGCTAGCTCTGTCAAACACATCTGTAAACATTCAGCTCTGCTTCACACAAGGGAGTTTCATCTGTGAATGCTGCATCTAGCAGTCAAATGCAGCCATGAGGCAGGATATTCTCAGCACCTATTTATAGAAGAATGTATAAAATACTATCGACTCTGCCACATGTGACTAAAGCCACATGACCCAAATCCTGAACTATTCACATGAGCCCATGCAAACAGCAGAAGCAAAACAAACAGCTTAAAACCCAACAAAATTGAACATGAAAGCACCATCAGGAAACATGACAGTGAGTCCTGTGTCATTTCACATTTCATGCGACACAAATGCGACACCTTATCCCTTAGTTGCTAGACATTAATCAAACATACTGCCACACTTGAAAGGATAATGCTATCGAAGAAGAGAAGCCTTTTGTATATTCACTTTGTATTCTTTTAAGAACCGCAGACCAAAGTAATAAATGGCATCTTAGACCATTTTTCACACGAGGAGCCAGTGTGTCATACAAGATTTCTTACTCCATACTACACTGTCCTTCCATGTTACGCTGCTTGTTTTTCAGCACCAGGATATCCTTTATTATGTGGCTTTCTTTTAAAGATTACTTTTGAGCAAAAGAATGGCTTTGCTGAGCTGCACTGCTGTTAGCATTTTGTATTACAGAAGCAGTTCTAACAGCTATGTAAGCATTTTAAATCCCCTCTTCCTTTCCTTCTGACTTTGCCCCATGCTTTTCCTAGAAGTGTCACAATTCCTGACAGCTCACAGTAGAGCTGGGAAGAAGTCCTGGTTTTGCTCCTTGAGAACACTTCCAAGGGGTTCAACCAAGTGGTAAAGTCAGATTTGAACAGAAAAATGTCTGTTCTATCGATCTGTTTCGGTGGCTGTGATTTGTAAAGAGCATAGATGGGGCAAGAGCAAAATACTTCATTTTTATTCCAGTTCTCAAATGCTTAAGCTGTGATGAATTATGTCTTTGCAAACTCCTTTTCCTTCATCACCACCACTCTCGCCAGTGTCCATGCTGCCCTTCCCCCGTCCCCACCTTCCTGTTAAAGACAACCAGGTTTAAGGCTGGAAACTTACCAATGCATGATGACATCTCTGCAATCAAAGTTTTCAGTAAAGGATGATACGGTCCATGATCTGGGTAAGAATTGCTGAAGCTTGTCTCTTGTTTTAGCCTGGTGATCTAAAGCACAGTCTTGTCCAATCAGTTTGTATGCTAGGCAAGTTAGGATGACAGCATGGGTTCAGACTTTAAATACAGCCAAGACTGGGATGCCTCTGGGTCCTTCTTACTTGCATGTTTTTTGGGTGGTATGGCTTCTTCAGAGGGGAACTGCCCCAAAAGAGATATATGGCCTGACATTTAGCAGAGTGGCAGGCAAGCCTGCAGAGTCTGCTGAAACATTTGTGGGAGTCTGGAAGCACTTTAGAGGCTGATAGATAAGAAGCTAGAAACATCTGAAGTTTTGAGGAAGAAAACAAGATTTATGGTGACTATGAAGAGCAGGAAATCAAAACTGTTAAGAAATCAGCTTCAGGTCATCATGAAGTTCTGATCCCTAGTTTCACATTAAGGAACAGAGTACTACTAGAAAATCCTGCCTGTGGTAATAAATAAAGTTAATAATTAGCTACCATATACTGCTTTTCATCTATAGATTGCAGTGATAAGAAGAACACAGTGAAAGTCTAATTTATTGCAGCTAAATAGTTGACTGTTAAACATTTCTTTTTGCAGGACTGTAAATTCTACCTGTTGACATAAGCTCAATCTTAGCTGCTTTCTGGACTGGACTGCTTTATCGTTTAGAATGAACTCCATGCAGACATTTTGAAGAGTTATTGTTTCTTGCAAGTGTATTATGAAAAGGAGAAATCCCAAAGGAGCAAAAGAGAAATAAATTGGCAAAAGACTTTGGCACTAATTGTAACCATGACCACGTTTATTGTTATACAAATCAATTAGGACCATATTTTGTGAGTCTGAATTGAGGAAAACAGAATTTTTTTACTGCAAAACTTGGTCCTAGAATATGTAATCTTTTAACCACACCGTCTGTCTAGCCCTATAGGAAACACCGTCTTTAGTACAATCTAAAAATGTAAGATCACATTGCAATGTGTAACTGCTGTACATCTTTTTAATATAAGTAACAATTCTAAAGTGCTTGTTGAAATAAAATGTGAGATTTTTCTTTTATTACTTCAAGGGTTTGGAATTTGCCCTATATTTAACCACGGATTTTGGCCTTGACTGTGAAAAATTATTGATCCTTTGTTCTTGTTGTTCCAACTGAAAACCTTCCAACTGAGCCTGGGGTTCATGCAGTGAAGAGCAAATTTGAAAATCAAGTTCTTTACAGTTGCCCAAATTACTGGTCACTGCTGCAACAGATAAATATATATTGTAACAACGCATGTGCTCAAGTTACTACAAAGAATTACTGCAAGCATGAAGGCATGTAAGACTAGGGCAATGTATTATATTTTGAGAGAAATCCAAAGGATATCCTTTGGTGTAAGTTTCTTTGTTTGAACAATTAATAAGGATATATGTCCCTAAACACAGATGGAAGCTACACTTGGAAGCAAGCCAGAACCCACATGCTTAGACATATCTGATGTCTCAATGCGATCACAGAAAATAGACTGGTGACTGTTAGCTGTTGAATCTTTTCTTTAGAGACTTGTGGAATAAAAGGAGGCAGACGGAAGCATGGGTTAAAGTCTTTGATTTATCTAAGTGGTATTTTTGCCAGATTTCTTTTTCAAGGCTGA